TATTTATTTAATAATATAAAAAAATTTAAAAAAATTATAAGCTTATATTATTCTTCCAAGTATAAATAAAATATCAATCCTAACATGCTAGGTAGCCATATATACATCAGATGTACTACGTGGACAGATGGGAAAAGGCTAAAATCCTAGTAGGTGGATGGTCACGAGGTTTGACATAGACTAATAGACACATCGCCAACTATACTGTCAGTTGTTAGAATAATGATTTCGTTATGAAAGTTAGTCATATAGTGACAATATTTTTATAAAGTCATTGACTTTACCAAATCTTCTATTAGTTTCAAAACTTAGTTATAATCTTCAATCATTATGACTTTTGATCATTTTCAAGCAGTCATTTTCTTTCTGTTATTCCTTTTGATCTTGTGCATTCTGACACTTGAGGTTTATTTCTTACGTCCATCATGGGGGTTTTGAGTATTTTATATTATTTATTGGTGATGATACTTGTTTTACCTAAATATATTTTATGAAAAATGACTCTAATGAAATTGAGCACAATTTTGCAAAGAAATAGCCCACTTCCTTCTCGAGAAGGGATGGGAAACACGCTCAATATCATTTGATTAGGTACCTAGCTCCTTGTTGTTTGAAGAAACCCTCCACTTCAATTGGTATTTTTTCACGAAAAGCAAGCATGAGATAACAAATCTAGTCTTTCACTACGATTTCAAATAATTGTCTCAAATTCAAGTTGATTTTGTTTTGCCTCCTTTATTTCTGTCAGAGAGTAATATGAATATTATATCATGTTCTATCAACACACTAAATGGATTATACCATATCTCTGGTGTGGAAGTCGGCCAACATTTACGTCGGCAAATCGAAGCTTTCCAAGTCCATGCCAAGTCTGTATTACTTCTTGGGTTGTCATTGCTATCTTATGAGGTTTTGCTGTTATTGTAGTTCGGAATCCACAAACCATTTCAACCGACGATCAAAATTTCTTCAAATATGTTCTTGAATTTATTCGAGACATGAGCAAAACTCATATCGGATAAGAATATGGTCCATGCATGAAAAACCCAGAGTTTATGCCATCAGATTTGAGCAGGCAATTCAATTTATTGTTATTGTTGAAAGTACACAAGGCCAATGAACCATATAACATTAGAAAATAATAAATAAACAAGTCGAGCACTTAGGTTTTGTTTGAGAATAATTTTTAGTTACTTTAAATTTTTTTTATTTTAAAAATATACAAAATA